GTTTTGAAGCCTGGTCTATTTGTTTTTCAATGTGCTTATTCCAAGAGAGTCTTTTATCCAATTTCACTCCAAGATATGTATCTTCTTCTGTGCGTTTGAGCTCTTCGTTATTATGGTTCAAATTGATCTCGTGTGATTTGGTAGAGAAGGTAAAAAGTTGGAATTCCGTCTTTTCGGAATTAACGATCATCTCGTTTTCATTGGCCCACTTCTCTAGTAATTTAAGTACATGTTGCATGTGCTTTTCTAGCCCTTTAAAGTCACTACTTGTTGCCCAAATGACGAGGTCATCTGCGTACAGCAGGGCATTTGTACCCGGAATAGTTTCAGTGAGTTCCGTGATATCATCAATCATGATGTTAAACAGGAAGGGACTCAGCACCGAGCCTTGTGGGAGACCTTGTTTTGTTTGGCGATATGTCGAGACAACGTTTTTATATCGCACCCTTATAAACCTTTGATGTAAGAAAGAAGATATAGTCTTGAGCAGATATCCTGTGACTCCCTTGTCAACAAGCTTACTCACTAGCTTCTTTCTCCAAACTCTATCATACGCCGTCTTAAAATCTACGAATATTGCTAGGGTGCTCTGTTTTCGTTGGAAGCCGTTTTTTATTTCATGTGTTAGACGAGCTACTTGTTCAATTGTGTTTCGATTTTTCTTGAAGCCAGCTTGTTTAGAAGATATTAGATCATATTTCTCTATGCATTTCTCAAGTCTTTCTGCAACGATTCTCTCGTAGAGCTTGGAGAAAGTACTTGTTAATGCAATGGGTCTGAAATTTTCCGGCATGTCTCCTTTTTTTCCTCTCTTCCAGCTTGGTACCACTTCTGCTTTCCTCCATTCACACGGAATATGTGTTTTCCAGACATCATTTAAAAATTTTAGTACTGTTTCTTTGGCCATATCCCCCAGGTGTATAAGAAATTCCGACAGTATGTCATCTGGGCCTGCGGTTTTACCTTTCTTAGATTTAGTAAGAGCATCATTTAGTTCTTGCGTTTGGATATCTCCCCAGAATAGTGTATAATCTTCTTCACTCATTACACAACAATGTGTGGAGTTTGTGACTGGATTTCCGTTTTCTTTTTTTGGCTTGTAATTGCTTACTTTTGAATAGTGTTTGCAGAAGGAGTTAGCTATTTCTTTTAGCTTGCTTATTGTTTTCCCATCGAAAGTTATTGGATGGTTTGCTAAGTTTGATTTATTATTTATTTTTGAAAGAAATTCATGTGCCTTAACTCCATATTTTCTAAAGTCCATTTTCTGTAGGAACGTTCTAAATGAGTTTTGTTTAGCTGAAATAACTTTTCTTTTAAATATAGCTGTTTTCCTTTTAAGTAAACTTATAATTGCATGATTTTTGGAGCTCTCAGCTCTTTTTCTAAAATCATCTCTTTCTTCTTTTAGCTTTTGCAGTTCTTCATTCCAGAAAGGACGATATTTTCGTACCGTTCCTCGGGGAATAGTCTTCAGGGCACACCTATATAAATTTCCTTTTATATTAGTATATGTTTTATCTACGTTGCCGTTTATGATTAATTTATCAGTGATGAGTTCATCTGTCAATTTTCTGAAAAGCTTCCAGTCTCCTTTCTTTAAATTCCATCGTGGCAGTTGCGGTTCTTTGGTCTTGCTATTATTATTTTGATTCAGGTTAAAGTTAACCACAAGGATATTGTGTCCGAAACCTGCTATAGCTGGTAGTAGGGTATGCTTTATGTTATCAGAGATTGAGGTGTGCACCAATACAACATCAGGGCAGGAAGTACTGCCAGTGAAAGAAAGAAAGGTTGGACGTTTTGTCTCATTTCGAATATATTGTGCAGGGTTTGAGTTAAGGAAATCTTCAAATATTCTGCCTACAGTATCAGTGTTATTATATCCCCATATAGTGGAAGGGGCATTCAGGTCTCCATATAGTATACTCTCTCCATTCCAGTTCCTTTCCAACCATGTGAGGTCCGGTCTGTTTTGAGGAGGGTTATACATTACGAATATTCGGAAGTGCCGTTTGCCATACCACAAATTTGCTTCCAGAGCCTCGGATTTATCACTTGCATCTTGCCGTTTCCTAATTTTCATATCCGTAACGATGGATGCCTTAACAGCTAGCATAATACCAGATGCAACTTGTCTTGCTCTTGGGAGGAAATATGTTTGGTATCCGTGAATTCGGTGCATCTCAGGTTTTTCAGTTGTCGCTCCTGCTTCGACGATCGCACATAAGTCTACATCACTTTCTGTCACTATACGTTTCAATTCGGTGAATTTATCTTTGGTTAATCCGCCTGCGTTCCAAAAGATAGCTTTGAGTTGAGCCTTGCCTAAGTCTTTAGAAAGCTTGCGAGCATTTGGCCGTTTTTGATAGGGCCTGGGCATGTTTTGCTTTGTATATTGGACTGAGTTGGCGATAAATGTGATCGTTTACTTACCGTGTTTACGGGTTATCCAGGGGGCACGTGGACTAACTGTCCGGACGCGATCACTTCATCCTTTAAATAGTTTTTATTTTATTTTATAAAAATATAACTATCTATTTTATGCTTTTAGAACATATCATGTGTGTAACGTAACATTTGGTACGTTTGATGATGGTCCCGTAATACTTTACCCTATATGTTCTCTTTTGTTAAATGGAATCGATTATGACTGTATGCTGAGTGATTAAGCAACTCAACACAGGTGAGCTACAGTCCAATTTATTGAGCTTTTTCCTACATTATTTTTTTCAATCTCCTTCATTATAAAAATCAGAATATCACGAATGAATTTTTTGTATTTATTTATTTCATATGTCTACAATGAACATCGATTATATATTGTAATACCATTGATAAGTGGTTTTCATCACCAATGAAAAATAAAGAGAAAATTATGTTATAATTTAGTATAGATAATTAATTATCAATAATTACCAATATGCGTCCACTTCCAATCAAATCACACTGTATCTGCAATTTTCCTGAATTGGTGTCTCCAGAATTGATATTTATATTGTTTATGTGTATTATGATTATGATATTTTGTTAAAATTCAATATCATATTTAATTATATATTATTTAACTGTATGATATGAGTGAGAGTGTTTATGTTGATTATTTATTATCTTCAAAGTATTTATGCCCTTGTTAGTAGTATACTAGTATATTAGTTTCATTTCGTCCTTATTTTATAATTACAAAAAATATTATAATAATAAAATATTTTTAAAAAATATTATAATAATAAAATATTTTTAAAAAATATTATAAGCCCCAAAGAACATTAATATTTGAAATTATCAAGAATTGAAGAATGAAATCTACTTATTTGCATAATATCAGGTTGATGATACTGTTAGAATATTTAATGATCCCATTTCCGTTGATTAAGGTATAAAATGTTATTGCTGGTGCGTAATATAAAGTAAGTGTTCTTCCAAAATTACTTCCAAGTCGTGAAAAAAGTTTTAAGTATATAAAAAGTTTTAATTGCTACCCTGTAAGTGACAATTATTTTTTTTAATTCAATAATATTGTTAATTTTTGGCAATTAACCCGAATTAAACTATTAATTAATATTTCGGAGATCGATTTATCAAAAATAGCAAATACTAAAAGTTCCAGAAGATCTTTTAATATATATATTTATTAAAATATTTTCTGAACATTTTAGAAGTTTTATTGAGGTTTATATTATACTGTAGCCAAGCATTACTCATTATTTTTTTCTGAGATTTAAGTATAAGGTGAAAGTGCTTTTCATATATATATATATATATATATATATATATATATATAATAAGATATATTAATATACAATTAAATAAATCAAATCGAGCAGTTTTTAGTTATATTACTTATTTTAATAGTGATACTGTTTTATGTTATAATTCGGATAATTAATTCACGGTGTTTAAGAGATATTTTTTGTAATTCATATATTTTATTCGTACCTGTGATAAATTTTTACAATCATCAAACGAGCTAATGTCATTTATGCATGTATGGTACTGGTACACATGAGGGAGCCCCTACACATAGTGTTACTGTCATACTAAGAGGTCCCTCACCCAACTCCTTTTCAGCTTTCTCCGAGGTACATCAGAAATTTCAACCGTTTCTATATTTTGTAAAAGTTTATTGACATGTCTTTCTAATTTTCCCTGACAATTTTTGAATTGATATCGGTAAAAACTTTTTATTGGCAATTTTCAAATATTTTTATGTTTCCGGGAACTGTACAAAACTACAAAAAAAAAAAGAACTGCATTTTCGGTCATTGGTCTGTTTTTATGTTAGTTTGTCTGGTCTATTCTGTAGGCTTTTGTGGCCTAAAACCTGTGAACCAAACCAAAAAACTTTATTTAATATTTTTTCTTGTTTTTCTGTAAACTAAAACGGCGCCAAAACGGCTCAATTTACTGAAACTGGCCTGTATGCCTTTACTTTAAGCCCTTTAATAAGTATGGTGTACATCTTTGAGTAAGGAAAAACAGCTAGGACAAAAATAAAACTTTATTTATCTAAAAATCATATATAATATGAAACAAATTATATTCGATTTCATTAGAAGATGAAATCCTCAAACATATAAAAAAAAATCATAGATATCAAAGCAATATTTTTATATATAGTAGAAGATATCAAGATCTACAAAAAAGTTTATATAAACAATTTCACGATTTCCACCGGAAAAATACGAAATTTAAGATTAGTGAAACTAATTAAAGAAAACTATTTAGCTAAGTTATCTTTAAAAACATGTCATACATTTTTTGTGATTTTTTGTTATCGCTCTTCAACTGTATTACATTTACCCCACTTTTTTAAAACTTTCTCGTTTAATAAGCTCTAAGTTCATATTAAAATACATATGAATTCTTTTGACGGATATCTGGGAGAATAAGTCAATTTCATAACCAATTTAAAAAATCATTATTATTTTTTTAATGTAGATAGATAAAAAGTGAAGATATTTAAAATTCCGATATTTCGAAAGTTGAGTCTTTCCAATGTTTTTTTGTAACACTTATCAGACTAAATGTTTTTTTATCACCAATGAGAAATAAAAGGAAAATTCTTTTATCATTTATTATACAAAAATACAAGATGCAGTTTTACATAAGTTAAAAAATTCCATTATACAATTGAAAACATCATTAGAAAACATTATTATAAATATAAAAACATTATTATAAAACTGTCTCCGTTGTTTTATTAGGACATCGATTGCAAGTTAGGATTCTTGACTTTCCTCTCCGCGGTCTTCTTCTTCTAAATTACCTTCCTCTTCTTCATCAGGATATCCAGGAGGGATCGTTGCTGTTGTTGATGGTGTCCTCGCAGTTGTCGATGTCCTTAATGTTGTTTTTACTGTCGCTGAAGTTGGTTTTGTGGGAGGAGTAGTTATGACTGTAGGCTTCTGGGGCACTGGTGGTTTAAAGTAGGCATCCTGAGGCCTCGGGTATTGCTGTAAACTCGGGTACGGATAGGGTTTGGGTTGCAGATGAACGACGTTTGGATACCCAGGTTGGCTGTAGTCCACTTGCGGCACCCTGCTCTGGTATTCTGGTTTGCTGTAGTCCACTTGTGGTACCCTGTTTTGGTACTCCGGTTGGTAGTGGGAATGCACATCGTGGTGTAGCGCGTTGGGTTGTCCCCCGACTTCCTTGAAGGGGGCGAACCCCGGAGGATTGAGCTTGGGTATCAGCTCGAACCACAGCGGCAACTCGATGGTGAACCCGTCGTAAGAGCCGTAATAGCCCTCGATCGTAGACAGCATGGACAGGAATGAGAAGGCAGCAAATACCAGCATTTTAGTTCCCTTCTGAAAAACAATATTTTTTTTTTACTATAAATTAACACAAACAGTTCAAATTACTAGGAGAACTCGTCAACTATAATGGGAGTGATTTACAGTGGATGAATAATAGAGAAGTGAATTTAGATATATTTTTTTTAATTTATTGAATAATAAATATTAGTTGGCCCGTGTGAATAATTCGCAGAAAATTTTGTTCAGTGAAGAAATAGCAAAACAATATGGAAATAAGTAGATGATATGTATTATGTCAGGAAGGAATTTTTTTTATTTCTTTACTGAGTATTATATCAATCTGTCTCTTGGACATTGGTTATAGTGAGGTAGGACGACATTCACAATATATGTACAAAAAAATAAAATAAATAGAAACAAAATAATAATCAAAGTTATATACAATAGATAATTAAATAAAATAACCTAAAAAATAAGAAAATTAAAACTAAGCAAAAAAAAACAAAAAAAACACATGCATACCTATATACAATCAGGCGAGGGAACTCCAGGAGAACCCTGCGCTACTCTCCCAACCGCGTCACTGGTACTAAAGCCAGCGGAGATTGATCGAGAGCACTTTAGCCACATACACTTATGTCTTGGGTGAAGAATCTGGCCATTGCCAGAACTCCAATTCATACAATCTACAAAAGGTCGCGAGGCCACTGCAGTTTCAACCTTCTTGGAGGATTATAGGGATGGGAGGTCCTTGATAGGGATTGTGCAAGAGGATTTGGGTGGTAGATAAGGTTCTGGTGAAATTTGGAGAATTTTTCTGGGATAAGGTCTAGGACAAATGGGATGTTGAGGTCATGATGTAGGGTTTTGTTGGTTACATAGAAAGGAGCATCGACTATTGTTCGAAGGACTTTTGACTGGAAGGATTGGATGCGCTTGATGTTAGAAAATTTTGCTGATCCCCACAGTTCTAGTCCGTAAGTCCAAATAGGTTTCAATATTGTCTTGTAGATCAGTAGCTTGTTTTCAATGGAAAGTTTAGTAGTCGGTATAGTTGGCCGTATCGTCGGTTGAGCTCTTGTCTTTTATGTCTAGTATGCGGGTTCCACGTTAGTCTTCGGTCTAAATGAAAGCCAAGGTACCGGACTGTGTCTGAGGAAGGAATTGATATTTTTTCTTTGATCGATTACAATATATCATTTAACACAACAGACCAAAATATTTGTACATATTGCTTTGCTAGGACCTATTTTCAAACGCTGACTGGAAAGATAATAAAAGTAATAAAAACAAAATAATGCCCCGATTATGGGATTTTCTAACAAACAAATGCCTTTAAGAAATAATAAAGTTAATGTATCTGTCGGAAAAAAAAGTGTAGTCGACTATTCTATTCCTAAATGCTATGTCTTTAAAGTGGAAGACATTATTAAATATACCAAAACTTATAGACTGTATCTTTGTTAATAGTTGTCCGATTTTTTATAGTTTTGCCTGTAATTTGGTAATCTTTCTAATTATCATTGGCACAATCAAGAAAAAAATGTATACTTTTTGAGTTATTAGCGAATAAAGTTTCTTTTCCTTCATAACTTTTTTTCCAGAAATATCAGGACAGAACTATTTTTCGAATGTGAAGGAGAAAAATATCTTCAAAATGAGTGGTCTATCATTGGATTTGATGAAGAATTGACGAAGTTTTGGCTTAGTGACAAAAAAAAAAAACACCTTTTAGAAATAATATATAGGATAACAATCTGTCACATAGACCTTGGCTATATAGGGAGGTAAGATAATATTCACGAAATATGTTCAAAAAAATTAAATAAATAAACATAAGGAAAATGGGATGGGTAGTACTTGACAGGGATTGCGCAAGAGGATTTGGATGATACGTAAGGTTTTGGTGAAATTCAGAGAATTTTTCTGGGATAATGTTAAGGACAAATGGGATGTTGAGGTCATGGTGTAATGTTTTGTAGGTTACATAGAAAGGAACATCGACTACTGTTTGAAGGACTTTGGACTGGAAGGATTGGATGCAATTAATAGATATCTAGTTAAAAACCTACATAACAATGAAAATCTTTCCAAAAAAGCGAAGATAATAGTGCATGGTACAGACACCTTTTATTATTAATATCCTTCTACACCATAGTAACCTACTACTATTTTATTTATAAATAAATAAATAATAATAATGTACGTCCATATCTCCATTCTATTTTAATATAACAATAGGGGCAATATATTTCATAGGGAAATATATTTCAGTGCGAGTCTTGGGCCGACGAAAATATATATATTTAATTTCCGAAAACTCTTTGGTAATTGGGTCGTTTTCAGTCTGACGATTGGCAAATTTTGTTTATTTAGTTAGTTACTAAAAACTCGAGAATACCCATTTGCTTTCCACTTCGATCGTAAGATAACTTGAGCACAAACTCGAGAAAAAGGGTGGCCTTCAAAAATATTCAGACGTTTGACCAATACAACTCTTTATTTTTACATTTTGGGGGTAATTCGAAGGCCACCTTTTTTATCGAGTTTGTGCTGAATTTGTCTTATGATTCAAGTGAAAAGCAAATGGGTATTTAAAAGTATTTAGAACTAAATAAACAACATTTTTCCACCTACTGACTGAAAACGTCCCAATTCCGAGAATTTCCGTAAATAAAATATTTTTAGGTTACGATGATATGAAGCTATTTACGAAGTTTCAGGCGGTTGTTAATAATTTGATAAACATGGGTGTTTACCACGGACTATAAGATAAAACAGTTGAACCTGTAGTGTTATATGAAATGGGGATAATGTGATATACCATAACTGGAAAGCTACTGGAAATATACAGGAAGATACTAAGGTGTATCCAAGAACTAAGAAAAGTGGCAGATGAGTACTGGCCCAAAAAGAATCAAGAATTGTATGAAGATGTAGAAGATTCGGAAAAAACAATAAGATTGAAATTCTTTCATCACATGAAGAGAGTGGGAAAAGATAAGATAAACAAACAAATATTTTACAAAGTAATGGTACTGTAAGTAAAGTGAGAGTACTCAATTATATTACATCAAGACGACTCCAGTGATCCACAAGAAAATTTTAGAAATTTTGTGCCGTATAGACAACACGGAATGACAAAACTCTGTTAACAAATTGAAACCAAAATAATGAAATAAAAACATTTTTTGGTTTATTATTTTCAATAATGAACCATTGTAATTGACCAAGAAATTCAAAAACTTAACCCCCCCCCCTTCAAATTTTGAGGTTTTGTCTTTCAGAATACGTATAATTCGAAAAACGAATAAAAAAAATTTTTCCGAAACTACGGGACCGATTTTTTTTTTTCAAATTTAGATTTAAAGTCATAAATCACCCGAATATTATTCTCCTACATCGGCATTACTATCCGCCTTTTCCTTTCAAGATGGCGACCGAAAAACCTGCGTTACTATTGACTGTAGCGCCAGAACGAATGCACCGATTTCAATGAAACTTCGCTAAAGTCTTCTTCTCAATGCCCTTTAAATTTATCTATATAACATGCTTCAACAAAAAGGAGCTGGGACAAGTTACGAGAGGTGATAAAATTATATTCAGAATAACTCTAAAAATATACACTTTTTTTTAATATTGTCGATATTGAATGGTTTTTTAAAAGTTTACGAAATTTCCGAAAAAAAACAATAACAAATCGTTATAATCGGACAATTAGTAGCAAAGATATGGTCTCTAGATGTTTTTTTAAGTTCTAATGCAAATTCTTTGTTTAGGATTTTGATTGATTTGATGCGTTATTGGAGTAATGCTATTTTTTTTAGCAAATTACTAATGATGAAAAAAAAAAATCAGGCAAATAATTGAAATTAACTTTATATTTCTTTTAATTTTTCACTGAAAAGGTTATGTTACTTGTAAAAGGTATTTATAATTATTTAAAAGTAATTATTTACTAAATTTCCTAAAAAAAAACAAAAAAAACGTTAACATCGGACAATTTGGAGCAATGATATGGTCTTTAGATATTTGTTGTAAGTTCTGCAAAGGTTATATCGTTTATTTTCGTTTTAAATTTTCGAGAGTGTTACTGAAGTAATGCTTTTTTTCTAGCAAATTACTAATGATAAAAAAAATAAGTTGTTTAGGCCAATAATAGGAATCATCTTTTATTTATTTTTCTTTGTTATTAGGAAGGTAATGTAATGTTACGTCAGATGTATAATTGTTTGAAAATAATAAACCATTGTGAAATAATTTGCAGCGTTTTTTATTTCTATCTTATAAATTTTTATTTATTTAGAAATATAATAATAAACAAATAATTAATTATAGTGATATATGAACACATTCACACCATATATACAGAAAATATAAAATTAACATAAGTAAAATAATAATCAAAAACTATGTAGAATAAAAAAAATAAAAATAAGCTAAGGATAAATAAATTACAAAACACCTCATAAATGAATGAAATATAAAAGTTATTTACAGGGGTTGGAAAAGCAATAACTCTCCTTTTAAACGGTTTTATTAACGTTAAAGCCAGATAAAATACTGATCATAAAGTTATGAATACATTTATGGCGATCGGTAAAAGAAAAACCGTCTAGGATAGTAGAGAACTAGACTATATATTTTTTGTTTCTATATAAATACATATTTAATGTTTTTAAATTACACTAAAACTAATATAATTTGCTTTTTCATAATAAAAAGTGTCTAACTTGACCTACATTACTGCAAGCGTCTTTTGGTTTTTCTAATTTATGATACATTATAACTCATTTAATACTATCGGCAATATATTTTCCTCATTTCATACAAGAAAATAAATTGATTGGTGTATAATAATTTTGAAATTTGGCAAAATAACAGTAAAAAGAAACAATATAAAATTGTTGTGGAAATAAGCATATAACATTTGTATTTTTAAGTAACTAGTGTTGTCCAAAATCAGTCTTGGTCTAGTTCATTGCCAAACCAAGACTGGTAAAAAAAAATCGTCTTTGTGCATAAAAATTATGACAAAATAGTCACTAATATTGGACAATTTTAGTGACTATGTGTAAAGAATGGTATAACCAATATACATTTGCATTTGACTCTTCCAATTCTCCATTTGGGCTTATTTAGATTTCTTCTATATGAAAAATCTGGTGCGCGCAACACACAACATCCACTTACCGATCGACTATGAATAGAAATTATTTTCTGGCAATACTGGGCTATTATAAATTTTTTTGAAGTGCATTTTAAACGGAGCTAAAGCTTAAAGCTTACAGATAACAATTCATTAGGACCATTATAATTACGAAGTGTCTAATCAATATATCGACGACAGGCAATAAAATCTAGTCACTCCATCTGCTTTTATAAACCGCACAACTTTCTTTGCTTTTATAAACCACAGAATGACTAACTCCAATTTCAACATTTTTGAATGATATCATTTTAGTGATATTTTTAGTTGAAAAAGTTATCTATACAGAATATGAGTAAGTTGATTCCGGAGGTGGTGATTGCAGTGTTGAAATATAGAACTGAGAATAAAGGTATAAATTTAGGTATTTATTTCTTATGAAAAATGTTCTCAGGAAGGATACATTATTAAATATCTGTAGAAAAAAGGTTTTTTTAGTCCCAAAAATTAAATGAGTATATTTTAAATTTATCCAGCTTTTCGCCTCTTCAGGGAAAAGAACTAGAGACCATATCTTTCCTTCTAATTGTCCGATCTTAACGATTTTTTTTTTTTTTTGTTTTTTACGAAATTTCCATACACTTTTAAAAATCCATATACAATATCTTCAAAAAGTGTATACTTTTTGAGTTATTCGGAATTTAATTTTAACATCCCTCGTAACATTTTTTCCAGCTTCTTTTCGTTGAAGTATGTTATATTGATAAATTTAAAGGGTTTCGAGAAAATGACTTTAGCGAAGTTTCATTGAAATCGGTACATTTTTTTAGGCGCTACAGTCTATAGCAACGCAGTTTTTTTCTGCATTTTTTTTCTCCTTTAATAACTTATCAAATTCTTTCAAAAGTTATATTAAGCATTTTTTCGTAACTTTGAATAATGTGAAATGATTAACTTTTTAAAATAAACCATATTGAAGGTGCTTTATAGGAAGACCTATATGAACATTGGGCATATAAGCCCTGTAAAGTGACATCAATGGGGATAAGACCTAATTGATATTAAAGACCACTTAATTATACAATGATACACCAAGTTTAATCAAAATCGTTTTAGCCGTTTTTGAGAAAATTGTGAAAATGTATTTCAGCGTTGAAATAAAGTGGCACTTCCGGTTAGCCGATTTAAGGAAAAAGTTGCCGTCACATCTAAGGCATATACCTATCTTAAATACGTGATATCAGTTTCGTAGGACTATTCGTTTTTGAGTTAGACTGCTAACATACAAACAGATAGACACACAGACCATTTTTCGGGACTTGGTAATTTCGACTCAGGGTACCTTAAAACGTGTATTTCCGTTGAAAACTCAGATTCAAAAATTTTCTAGATCGCAATACTTACCCTTACTATTTATTACATATATACGTAATTGAAAGTAAAAATCATAGTAATATATCTATAGTAATAAGCTAATAGGTAACTGCATGACTTTTGCGAGACTCTTGCGGAAGACCAATACTGAATGCGCAAGACTAAGACTCGTCTTGGTCTCGGATTTGGGCAACACTATAAGAGACAAACTTAATGTTTCTAACTAAAATTTATGTTTAAAATTAAGTTTTCATGAAAACCTAATGTTCAGGATGTTCCATGAACTTTTATGTAGATATTTAATTATTAATTATTATTTATGTAAATATTTCCCTCTACTTACGCCACAACCTGTATAATTATATTACATTTATATAATAACTAGCTGATGTACCCATCTTTGACGGGTGTATAGTTAAAATTTGAAAATCTTTTTTTGAGATGGATATTGTATTATGGGGGGGAGAGGGAGAGGTAATTTTAATTGTTAGAAGTTTTTTTTCCGATTTCCGCCTAATCCATTTGGTTAATCCTAAAAATGTATATGCCATCATTTGTTACACTCGGGAAGTTGAATAGAATGACATCTTGAAAGGGAAGATTGGACAAAGTTGAAAAACGAATGTGTGTTTTAATCGACAACGCGTTACAGATTTTTGGTATTTTTCCCGTTGTGTTGTGATAATATTTTCCATCAGTTAAATAGTACAACTGTTAAATATAGCTTGCGGTAGAGTAGGTTGGGATGAGAATCGAAGTAACTGCCTAACCGGTATCTCTAGACAAATTACCCGAGAATACATGACTCTGGTTGTATTCAATATTTTGTTTTCATTTAAAGGCTATGTTTTAAGTCAAGTAAACCTTAATATAATGTCAAAATTTCAAAAGTCTACAATAAGTCATTGCTCAGTTTACTCCCGACAAAATTTCGTTGAACAAAGCGGACATCCAGACAAACAAAAAACTTTTTAAAAAGTGGATTTAGTGTCTGTAAAGTATAAAACGGAAAGATATCATGAAACGAGTTTATTCTATTCAATGTACAGACGAAACCTTTATTTTATTAATATACATATCCTTTAACCTATAAACATATGTTTATTATTAATATTTATTATCAACATTAACCGAGATCTCTAGATAAATTACTCAAGAACTCATAACTTTGGTTATACTCAATAGTTTGTTTTCATTTAAAGCCTATGTTTTAAGTCAAGTAAACCTTAATATAATGTTAAAATTTCAAAAGTCTACAATAAGCCATTGCTGAGCTTACTCCTGACAAAATTTCGTTGCAATGTGGACATACAAACAGACAAAAATTATTTTAAAGTGGATTTAGTGCCTGCAATGTATGAAACGGAAAGATATAAAACGGATTGATTCTATTAAATTTACAGACAAACTCTTTACTTTATTTATATGGATATATATCCACACGAATCGCACGAATACACGAACCATTGTGTTCGTGCGAGAGATTAAAAAAAAATTGTGGTAAGAATCGAAAATTTTCACTCGCGTTTTACGTTTCAGATATCAAGAATCAAATTTGGTTCGGTATCTGACTGTCTGTCTGTCATCAAATTGATGTAACGGGCGTATCACCTAGAATAGAATGACATCTTGAAAGGGAAGATTGGACAAAGTTGAAAAACGAATGTGTGTTTTAATGGACAACACGTTACAGATGTTTGGTATTTTTCCCGTTGTGTTGTGATAATATTTTCCATCAGTTGAATAGTACAACTGTTAAATATGGCTCACGGTAGAGTAGGTTCCCAAGAATTCATAACTCTGATTGTATTCAATATTTTGTTTTCATTTAAAGCCTATGTTTTAAGTCAATTAAATCTTATAATATAATGTCAAAATTTCAAAAGTCTACAATAAGCCATTGCTGAGCTTACCCTTAACAAAAATTTGTTGCAATGCGGACATACAGACAAGTGAAAAAAATTTCGAAAGTGGATTTGGTGTCTGCAATGTATGAACCGGAAAGATGTCATAAAATGAGTTTATTCTATTCAATGTACAGACAAAATCTTTATTTTATTTATATAGATATTAAGATAAATAGAAATAAATTAAGATATTGTACCTAACAATATATTATATAGTATACTATATACTAACCTCTGCCATGGCTGCGTGGGCGAATTTGGTTGGAGAGCGCGAACGCAGGGACCCTTATATCGGAAGCATGGCTATTACCCCACGGTCATGTTTACACAGGTTCAGAAAAAGCCGTTTTGTCACGAACTTATCGTTTACGCCTTCCGGGATATTTACTTAAATTGCAACTCTTTATTATCCCCTTCACATTTTGATTTATTTTAAATTGTTCCAGCTATCTTCCGAGGTCGTGTTTCGGTCATTTTCAAAGTAAGCAACTAGGTTGTTAAGCCCCGATCATATTTTTATGTTTTATGACCAAAAAAAAGATAAAAAAATAATTTTTTTAAATATAATTTTCTATAGTTACCTTTCATCTCTAAAGAGATAAATCTAGAAAACATAAAGTGCTTACCAATTATTTGGCCATCATTAAATATTTACTATACCATGCTAGCTCAGGTGAGAAGGGGTTAGGTTGGATATTTTTATGAAGCAGCAAAAAGGTTAACAGATCTATTTACATAAAGAAATATTTAAAGAATTGATACTATAATATAAAATACAAGGAATACAGAGAATTTAAACATAATTACTATATACAATTAAAGATAAATAGGAAGATATTTAAGATAATAAAAATAACAAAAAAATATACTTATTTGATATACAATATTATGGCATGCCACATCTAAACATCTAGGAAAGATAGTCAAGATACAAGAGATATAAGATGTAAGAGCACATGCACATGCTAAAGTATGAATTAGTCATAAAAAATATGAATTAGTCATCTGGCATCGGAAACAAAAGAGAGTAGAATTTGTTTTGTTTCCAGTGCTTTCATAATCTTGGTTACAGTTTATATTTAAGAACATCCTTAATGCTTCCTACTTATCAGAAGTAATAAGTAATGTTGCCCATAATCGGTCTTGGTCTTTCACTTTGTAAGACCAAGACCGATGAAAAAAAATATATAGCTTTTCTGGAACCCACATACCAGAATGAAAAGATTAGAAACTGCCCGACGTTTCCGACTACTGCAGCACTTACTAGACAAACGCTCTAAACTGCCAACTATTTACAAAAGACTCATATATATTACTATAAAAAGACCTATTTAGACTTACGGAGTTGAGCTATGGGGTTCCACCAAACCATCAAATTCCTCTCCTATCCAATCCCTTCAATCCAACCCCTACTTAATGCTCCCTACTTTGTTACAAATAAAACCATCCATAATGACCTTAATGTTCCTTATGTATCAGTTTTGTCCCAATCCAGATACCTATCCTTCCATAATAAATTTCAGAATCATCCCTACCCTCTCGTTCCTAACCTTGCTTCCTCTTCAATTCCCGATAATCCTTCGTGGCTTCTGAAAAGAAAATGACCACGATCTCCTAATGTAGACATATCATTAGAGTGCTACCATTGGTTAGTTTCTCAACAAGTGTTTTCACGTCTGTATATCCATATGTTCAAATTTACTAAATGTATTTCTTTAATACAGTTGTAAATATACTTAAAAAATAAAAATATTTAAGAACTAAATTTTCAAATTTTATGGCCACAAGTGATTAGTATCTTTCTATTGTCAGCTAAAAGTACCCGTGTTGTAGCAAAAATGACTACAATTAACAGCTGCAAGCTTTTATTTATTGTTTTTCCGTGTTATGGGATATATTTTAATAAATATTACTGCCTAAAAACACATTTAATTATTAAAAATTTTAAAAATAATGATTTTTCACATATTTTTTATTTAAGGTGGTCCAAGATCTCTACCATAGGAATCGATGCGTATTTATAAGTGACAAGATTAATGTTTTTAGCCTAATATTTACTTTTTCATGAAAATAATTAAAGTAAGAAACATTAAGTTTGTCACTGATTAATACATATCAAGTCTTATGAAGGATGTCTGGGAAAATAAGGCATATTTCATAACCAGTGAATATTTTACGTGAAAATATTTTTAATTATTTTTTTTTAAATGTAGATAAATCAAAAGTGAAGATTGCTAAAATTCCGATATTTCGAAAGTAGAACCATCTTACCAATGGTTATTTGTAACACTTATCGGACTAAATATTTTTTCATCACCGATAAGAAAAAAAGAGAAAATTGTTCTATCATTTATTATAGTAAAATTTTCTCGATCGCAATATTTACCCTTACTATATATTACATATATGCGTAAGTGAAAGTAATAATAAACAAAAAAAAATTTAAAATCGCGATATTTCTACTAATAGTACTTTGATTTCAATGAAACTTCACAATCACAGTATCAACAAAAAAGTTTATACTTTTTGAGTTATTCGGAATTTAATTTTACCATCCCTCTAACTTTTTTTTCAGCTTCTTTTCGTTGAAGTATGTTTTCTAGATAAATTTAAAGGACGCAGTATAGGAGCGCATATATAAGAGAATGTAGTGGACAGAATTCGATAAAATTGGCAATACATTATTTGTTCACCAATTTCTACCCTTTATCTGGCTTTGAGCCAAATCGAACGAGCCCTTTCTGAAATATTGGCATATCAAAATTATTCGTTTGCGCGTGCGTAAGATGAAGTGCTGGATGGAATTTGATAATAATGATAATTGTTATGGGACCATCTAGGCACCAATCCGCATAATCCCTGAAAATTTCTTGAAAATCCGATGAACGGTACTAGGTGATATGCCCGTTACATCAATTTGATGACAGAAGGGGGCGGGGCGGCCGAATGGGCTAAAGCGTGTGCAATGCACCGCGAGTTGTATTCAAGAGTTTGAGAAGATTTTAAAAAATCCCGGTGACAGAGGGGATAGAACCAAAAAAAAAAAAAATGATGACAGACAGGCACCGAACAAAATTTGATTCTTGATGTCTGATACGTAAAACGCGAATGAAAATTTTCGATTCTTAGCACAATTTTTTTTTAATCTCTCGCATGAACGCAATGGTTCGTGTATTCTATATATGCAATATATATCTATATAAATAAAATAAAATTTTAATGCAGGACGGTCCCTCCACGTCCAGTGATATAATAAAAGGCCTCTGGCCACAGATGCAAATAATGCATACAGCGTGCAGAGCCCTCTTACCTTAAAATGCCCTTGGGCAATAAAAGGAAATTGAAAAATTTATGTATATATAACATTTATATATATATATATATATGTATATATATATATATATATATATATATATATATATATATATATATATATATATATATATATATATATATATATATATTGTATCTGTAATCAAGAAATTCCTGGGGGTAGGAAAAAAAAATAAATAAATATTTTGTCTGTAAATAAATCTTTGCGTTTTATACATTGCAGGCACCAAAATTTTGTCTGTCTGTATGTCAGCATTGCAATGAAATTTTGTCAGGAGTAAGCTCAACAATGGCTTATTGCAGACTTTTGAAATTTTAACATTATATTGAGGTTTACTTGACTTAAAAAATTGGCTTCAAATGAAAACAAAGTATTGAGTATAACGAAAGTTATGAGTTTTTGAGTAATTTATCTAGAGATCTCGGTTAATGTTGATAATAAATGTTAATAATAAACATATGTTTATAGGTTAAAGAACGTGTATATTAATAAAATAAAGGTTTCGTCTGTACATTGAATAGAATCAACTCGTTTCATGACATCTTTCCGTTTTATAGATTACAGACACTAAATCCACTTTTAAAAAAAATTTTTGTCAGTCTGGAGGTCCGCATTGTTCAACGAAATTTTGTCGGGAGTAAGCTCGGCAATGGCTAATGGTAGACTTTTGAAATTTTGACATTATATTAAGATTTACTTGACTTAAAACATAGGCTTTAAATGAAAACAAAATATTGAATACTACCAGAGTTATGAATTATTGGGTAATTTGTTAAGAGATCCCGGTTAGGCAGTTACTTCGATTCTAATCCCAACCTACTCTACCGCGAGCCACATTTAAAAGTTGTACTACTCAACTGATGGAAAAAATTATCACAACTCAACGGGAAAAATCCGGAATACCGGACATCTGTAACGCGTTGTCACATAAAACTGGTAAAACACACTCATTTTAAAACTTTGTCCGATTTCCCCGTTCAAGGTGTCATTCAATTCAACTTCCCGAGCCTAACAAATGTTGTCGTACATACATTTTTAGGATTAACCAAACGGATTAGACGGAAATCAGGGGGGGGAATCCAAAAATTTCAGCACGCCCGCGTCAATATTCTGATCAAGTTATAATTTTACACAGATGTAGGTGACTCAATGTCCAATGTTATTTTGGCTATGTATGCCAGCGATAAACTCAGCAGAGTTTAAAGAAGTGGAGAGACTACAACTCTTTTTGAACAATTACTCGACTCCACAATCTCCTCGCTTCATCATAAATGAAAATTAAACGCTTAACAGATTTTAATGGATCGGTGGTGGTCAGTTTATTTGTATGGTACTTAAACAAATAGCCGAATAAAAAAGTTTTTGCTATGACTATTGCGAAACCTTGACTTCCATAAAAATTCCAAGCCCCGCCATAAAAATTTCAAAACAAACCCCCTCTCCCATCCCGATTCAATTCTATGAAATTGAATTTGGACGCTCCTCTCTCTATAATACAAAATCCATCTCAAAAAAAGAGTCATAAATTTTAACTATACATCCGTCAACGACGGGTACATCAGCTAGTTCTATATATTTCGTAAATACTTTTACGATTAAATCAATTTCACTACCCTTACTGCTGCAAGTACTGCTATCTATATACTTGACCACAAACCATGATCCCAAGATGATAAAATAAAAATAAGAAATCATTATTGGTCCCTGTTGTGGTCGCCTTGAAGCCATAATATGAGGATATAATAGTGAGCACAAAGTATAAGGTTACCAGTTTATTGTAATACATGACGGTAATATGTCATGGGCAGCTTTGAGGCCCCCAGTTGACTGGCGAGACACGAATTCCAATTGCAGGATTTACTTTGGTATTCCACCCGCGACCGCACCATCCAGATATTGACTAACATTGCTGAGGCTTATATATCCCCTGGGGTTTGGTAAGCTTCTTCTTTGTGACGAGTGTACCAAAAGCTTTCGTTTTCATGAGAGAGAATATTATTTTAAAAAGCTAGTGCTCGCATAAATAAGTTTTACTTAACACCTTACTATATTTAAGGTTAGCGAAAAATTGCCAAAGC